TAGAAATTATTCTCAAGCTAAAACAGGTGGTCAATGATGTTAAATGTATCAATGATGTCAGCATCTTTCACAAGATATTAATCATATGCTTGTTTGTATAAACAAAACTTATATTACATATAAATAAAATATTAAAAACATTAAAAAGAAAAACATAAAAACAACTCGTATCTTAACTCTTAAAGTAGTTCTTGAATAACGTCAAGAGTATAATGTGAAGAGTCAGACTTTAGTATTTTTTTTGATTTTTTTGATGCCACCAGTTATTGCATCAAATAATAAAAAAGACGACTGCATGTGCTTAACGTTTTTTTTTACAAATTAAAGGTATGACACAATTTTCATACCTAGTGATAACGATGGGTTTAATAAAAATCAGATAACTCTGAAATGTAATGTTAAATATTAATCAAATCATATATGTAATTTATTATAAATACAATATGCCATAAATATGTATTTTATTATAAATACAATATGCCATAAATATGCATTTTATCATAATTACACCATGCCAAAAGATAAAAAAAAAAAAAAAACCACAATTATGTTCGTCATACATGTATCATTATTAAATTAACCTCCTCATTCATCTTCACAGACCATCTTACCTCTACAGTAACATTATTTCTATTTTATTCAAAGATATGATTTAAATCCCAAACAAATACTTATATCTAATGATTTGTTTTATTTTGTTATAGGTTACAAATGTTATAGTCCTATGGCTGGAATAGAACTTCCAATGAGATGTTATAATGCCACGTGGGTAGAACAGCAACAACATTACTGGGCTAATTGTCACCCACCAACATGTTTTTATCCTCCATAAGTCATACCATAAGAAAATAAAGATAGTGAACCACGTGTTTATAGTAGACAAGATTTACAACAGAAAACAACTGTATTAAAATGTTTAAAGCAATCGGTTATGTTATCATAAATATTTACCTTAGACTCTTCTGAGCAGATTTAAACTTTTCCCGACTTGAATATTATTTTTTGTTATATTTAACGTGTGGTTCGTTTGATCTCATTTGTTCATTGGTCAAAATTTGATTGTGACGTCATTTTTTCTTGCCTTCCTCTGATTGTGATATGTTGTTTATCTCAGACACGCGTCTTACGAGTTGATTTTGATAATGAAAATACCACGATTTCATTATGGGTTTGAGATTTTACTTTATTGTAACACATCGTTAAGTACCGGTCGAAAACCTAGGAAATATGAGAAGAGAAGCAAACGATACCAAATTGATATTCAAACTCATGACTAACTTACAATATAAGTACGGAGTATATCTTATTTACTCCCAGTTGGTACGATAGTCCAGAGCTAAAGTGTTTTATTACTATGTCCTTGATACAGAATTGCTGCCTACATGGTTGCTGTTGAACCAAGAGTTTCAAGTGATAAAGTACAAGTCATCCTTTCGAAAGTTTTCGCACGTCATCACAAGTTGACCAAAGATGAACACGGATATGTCCTAATTGCCGTAATCACAATCTCTTCTTCTTTTCTTTAATTGTAACATTACCAAATTTGTACTTATAATGAACTACATGACTGACGTATCTAGTGAAGCAGGATATTCTTACCCTTTCGAAGCAACCAAGATTAACCAATGTTTTTGGTGGAGCTTGTTTTCTTCAGTCCTATATTTTTAATGTAGTATTTTGTGGATTTGTTTGTCTTTTTGTCGTTTGTCGTTTTTTTTCCATAGCATTATCAAAATCTCTTCGACTTAAGTTTTGAAAATAAACTGACCATTTTATTACTTTTGTGCGTCCATAGTGCTTTTCTGAATTTACCTTCATCTGGAATGCTAAGTACTCCATAGTGAAATGAGGAACGTGGTAGAACATAATCAATATATGTCAGTGTGTAATTTAATGAGTTTACTATGCTAACGTATTATATTTTTGTCTCGTAAAAACTTTGTAGAATTCTTCATACCGACAAAAAAAAACATCGGCTGGTTTGGTAACTTACACCTATAAAAAACTACTATTTTTGAAAATACACAACTTTAAGCGAATTTGTGAAAAAATATTTCAAAATATCACTCATATAAAATTAAAAAAAATTATGATTTAGAATTTCATATTCTTTGTCCGGTAACAAGTGCCATTATTTATTACATATTGGTGAAACGGTATCTTTGAGGTTGAATTGGTCATATCCACACTCTTTCAACCATTCTACTTTCATGTTATGTGACGATATATCATTTTCTATAATGTATGATACTTGATTTTCATAAAGACAAAATTCTTGCATCTCCCTTTTTTTTTGCTATACACAGTATTGTTGCACTGTTAATTGGCAGATTGTAGCTGCTCATCAAAATCAAACCCTCCATCCTCCTCTGAATCGTCAAGGACGAATGAAAGATCAACCTGTGTTTTGGAATAGCATTTTGTAAAGTGCTTCAAAAGGTCTATTAGTTCTAGATCAGTTGTGAAGAAGGTCAGTCCAATATTTCGTAAAAGTATAAAACATGGAAAGTCTTCTAGTGCTACTGGCAACTGTCTAATTTCCAAGTCAACAAGAAAAGTTGGGCGTTTTGTTAGTATCTTATTCCAAATATGATCATTTAAGCTTTCATCGTTGGGAACTGAAATGTCATCTGATTCACTATCTCCGTACAAAGCTAATTCAGAGGGACTTCTATCTACCATTTGCAGGAGGCAATTACCTGTTATGCATTTGCGTCTGATTGCCAACTTCCTCAAATTTTCAAATACGCTGAAGAATTTCATATAGTCAAAGTTTCCATAGGGGCTTATCAAAAGAAAATTTTATGCCCTACATGCTGATCGTGTTTGATTGAAAAAAGAGTTAAAAGTCCCTCGTCCTTATCTATCAAAGGCTTAAAAGACGATATATCAACAGAATTAAGATCTGGACATTTTGCCAAAAGGTTGCAAACGAATGAGGAGAACGATTTTGTAAAATTTTGAGTTGGTTTTGAAATGTTTTTAAATGGCATATACCCAATTCCAAGATAATGAAGGTTCAAACACGAACTAGACGTTGCTTCTAGTACATGTAAAATATCTTCTAGCTTTTCTTTATAGAAATATAGTTTAAAGTCTTTAACATTTTGCCCATACTTTTCAATACATGATACAAATTTGTGTATACTCCGCTGTATGTCGACCTTGGATTCCAATTCATCACAGTCTAGTTCAACATATTGCCAAACTTTTGTCGAATTAAAGAGATCTCTTCAAACAGGTTTAGACCATGCCAAGGCGAACTTTTCTTACCAGTTCAGAAAATCTGTAATGTGAATTACTGTAGTGGTTGGCAAATCCAGAATCGTAACTATGTTCTGTGTTTACTAAATCAAAACAATTCGTCATAATAATAAAAAGCACTATCATATTAAAGGTCATTAAAGCTACAAGATGAAAACGAGCTACTTAATAACCATGATTTGCATCACTATCCCAAACAAATTGTCAAATAATTTTGTATAAACTCTTTGATTCTATTGTGTAAAGTCAAACATTCATGGCGGTACCCTTAAAATAAATGAATATTAACAATTTGAAAAAAAAAAAAACTTCCATTTTTTTGTAGAATTTTGAGTCGGATGTAAATTTTCTTTAAATGCCATATACCCGATTCAAAGAGTTCTACCACGAACGAGGAGTTGCTTCTAGTACATGTTAAATATCTTCTTAATTATCCTTATTATAAACAAGTTTAAGGTGTTTAGCATTTTGCCCATACTTAATAATGCCTGATACAACTTGTATATACTCTACTCTATGTCATCACAGTTTAGTTCAATTTATTGTGTAATCATTGTTTTTTTTTAAATTAAATATAACACCATAAATAATAAGTTTAATCTATCCTTTATAGTGTCATAAGTGATAGCATAAAAAGAATACTTCACAGATCAAATTGTGATGTTAAATTACACTAAGTGAGTAAGTTTGCACGACAAATGAGGAATATATTTATTACACATATTTTAAAGGTGTTCCACAGGAATTAAATCTTTTATCATATTATTAAAAAACACTTACTCAATTAAATATGAAAAAATAAATACTTTATGCGAATAGTCAGTCCTAATAAGGTTAAATAATAAATATCCGTCCTATCACATGAAGGTAAGTCTTATAGATACTGTTTAAACTTTGACCCCACTATGATATAAACTGATAATTATTATTTGAAATCTATTACAATGGAATTATCTTTATAGGACTAAGCAGGTCTATGTGTAACTATCACAATATTAAAACTTACAATTGCCTGTCAGCGACCCATATTAATTCATAGGAAATGTGCGTTTAATATGTCATTCTGCATTTAACCTACTTTATTTTCATTTATTTTCACTTTATATTAATTTATTTTCATATTATAGAGAACATACATAACTTACATTTACTTGTACACAGAGAGGCTAATATTTAAAAAAAAAGTCCGATGATCCCGCCTGCCAACCAACATGGGAGCCATGGATAAAAATTAAAAAAAAACCGCTAAAGTGCCAAAACAATATCGTCTTATATCTTAAAAAGTGTTGAATAGATAAAAATCTGACAGGAAAAAATTGTTCAGATTGTCAAGATCTACCTTCTCTTCATCTTTTCCATGCATCAGCATATTACGGTTATATAAAATATAATCCTCAATTTTAAATCTTAGTCACGGAATGTGCTGAATATCAATTTCTTTAGAAACATAGAAATAAAAGCTATGACATTTGTACGCTTCCAATACTAAAGTGTGCTTACCTTTAAAAAAACATAGCTGAATACTAGAAATGATGTAGTATGATGTAACTTTATGATACTATGCAAAAATAAAAATGTAACTGCTACTGTAACAAACAGCCCAACCAATAGTTCAGAAGCTTTCACAATAAATATTCTGAACTCATGAAGATTACAAGATTTATTCTTTTGGATCGTATGTGTTTCTTGATTAATGCGGTTATCAAAACGCCCACTTTCGTTTAGTACATTATGATTAGAAAAAGAAAGCGTGTATGAACTTCATTTGAAGATAAGGATATAAGAATGATGAAGTATTTCATCATACTGGTAAGTATAATTTACTGTTATCTCAGGTAGTGCATCTTCAGTACACCACCAAAATTATTTCGTAAACAAACTGATCATTTGGCAGCATTTTGAACGGAAAATTTGTTTTTATAATGCACATTTGGTATTAAGTTATTTAGGAATTTGCTGTCTTTTTTTAACACAAGTGTTGTACCATTTTATTATAAAAAAGAAGGTTTTTAGAAAGACTTGCACTTTTAACGTATATTATTGATCATATTGCAATTTTTAATTTGATTAATATAAAATTAATTGGATGCCCAGTATGACCTTTTGACTGTGAACAATAAAATTGATGGATGTTGAAAACCTTACGATACCAAAACTCTTAGTTTCTAAATAAATTTTAAATCTATCAACGGAGAATTTAAAAAAAGCACACTTTAATTCATGCCAGTTCCTATGCACCGACTACTGAGGTGATGATACCATCATTAAGGTCACAAATACGATGTCAACACTTCCGTACTATTAATATCCTGTAAATAATTGACTGAGCTCAGTGCTATGTTAGCTATGCACCATATAACATTGCTACAAAATTTTAAATTTTCGAAATACATAGGATTGTCTACCCCAGGAACACGATTACCTTAGCTGTATTTGGCAAAACCTTACGGAATTTTGGGTCCTCAATGCTTTTTAATATCGCACTTTATTTTGTCTATTTATGTTTTTTGAGCGCATCACTGATGAGTCTTTTGTAGACAAAAAGCGCGCCTGGCGTACAAAATTTTAATCCTGGTATCTATGATGAGTTAATTGCTTCGCATCATTGTGTGAAGCTATTAGTTCATACAATATTCATGCCATCTTGAAATCATTACGTAACAAATATAAGTTCTCATTGGTTGTCTTATGATTTTGGAATAATTCTATTGGCTAGAATTAGATATAGAATTTGGAAAATGTACCGGACAGGAGAAGATATCAAATACGGAAAATTTACAGTATGAGTAATCAAGATTCGATCCGATACCCGATGAATGAATAGTTTTTCTTAGGCAGTTAATTTTGATTAATTGATAATGTTGAAGTGATATGGATAAATGAATGCTCAATTTCGTATTTGCTTCCCACTACTGTGTGAAGCTATAAGTTTCATTCGCCTCGACATTCACGTCGTCTTGAAATTATTACTTAACAAATATCGAGTCTGATTTGCTGCATCGTGATTTGGCTAAAGTTATATTGGCTACAATGAGATATAGAACTGGGAACATGTACCAGACAGGGAAAATATCAAATACGGATGATAAGGAATAAAATTACAGTATGGGTATTGAAGACACGATCAACAATTGTTGATACATGTTGACGTAATTTATGATAGTGCGAAGCGCTCCATACCTTTTTTGAAAGGTTAAACTTGTAGTAGTATAAGGCTTTCAGCCTCTAATAGACTGGAAACTGTAATAGGAAGATACACAATCTGTTATCATACATCCTTATAACCTCTCAACTCAGCTTTGAAAAAAACCCATCAAAATATAACATGCACAAAAGGACTAGGTGCGATAAAACTAATCTATTATCGGTCATGCTAATTTGAAAATAAGGAGGTATCATAAATCAATAAAAATCATCCTTCAGAGGTTATCAGGCATTAGTCTGTCAGACATCATTATTTTTATATTTTCATATCTGCATTCGGTAAACTTCTTGAATTTAGTTAGTAACCTGTAAAATATGCTAAAATAGTATCATTATCAGATCTTGTCTTAAATATTTATATGAGAGCCAATACTTTACAAAAAAAAAATATTTTGCTACAAGATTTATTTTACCAAAAAAGATGTAAATCTGTATAGAAAATTGTTTAGGTAAAGGCTTTGCTCATATCCTTTTTACAAAAAACTATGAACAAAATTGCCATAATTGTAGGTCAATTATGTCAATTTCAACATCACAGTTACTTTTGTGCTCCAAAGTGTCCGGATGATATTAATCTGTTCATTCATCAATAAACGTGCCATTATTTTGAATGGCTTGATTAATTTTACTAATTTGCTGTTTCAGGGGCAAAATAATGGCTCTTATTATACATCCTCCTTTTATGTAAATGACCTTTGTCTCTAAATGCAACAGATTATGAAAGGATTAGTTTTCTACAAATCTGATTATTAATGCACAGAAGAAATTTTAAGAAAATCGGACTTAAACGAATCGTTCCTAATACTATAAAAAATTCTATCTACGAGTTAGGAATGCTCGATGTATTCCATGGTCTTGGCACAAAAAATGTACATGTACATATTAGGTACATTTATCTATTAAATATCCTCTTCTTTCCTGTTCATGTTCAAAAGGGGTATATTAAGGAAGTTTTAACTGTAAGGTTATAACGCGTTGTTCTTTAAACTGCATCCTCCATGACAATAGATGAAAATGGAATATCATGTGAATACATGTTTATATGGGCAATGTTTTTTTACAGGAAGATTTATTTTTTCACAACTAGCTATATAGGCTACAGAAAAAACACGTATTTATGAAAGTTGTGATTTGAGGTTTTATTTTAGATTTTACGTATTCCAAAAGCGTTGTTTTTCTATCAGTGCCTCAAAGTATTTCAAAAACAATAAAAAGAATGAAAAAAAGCCAACATCATAATCAAATGAAACAACAAAAAGACGTTCATCAATCCACATGTTCGTCACAGTAATTTGAAGATTGAGCAACTCAAATTCACCAAAATCGAGGTGAAGTCGTATTGTTTAGACGGTTAAAATGTCCATGCACCACTGGTCGCACCTGTCTTTTTGCTAATGGGAAGTTAATATTCGGGTTATTTGTCGCATTATATGATGTTACATTTGAATAGATGATGACAGTATTTTGGCTACAACTAGAGGAACATACTAATATTCATGGTCATTCACAACACAGATATTTCATAATTGTCAATCTTATCTCTATGGCCTTCGTAAGACTTTTTAAGAGATGAGTTTACTTTAAGGAACCCTAGCTATGGAATATCGTTTCTATTAAAACAGAAAAAAAGGAACACAAAGAAGTGTATTTAAATAGAAGAAAAATAAATGCTGTACTTCAAAATGAGCGAAACAGCCTTTTTGGATTTGTTTTTCTTCTATTATATAAGGTATTTTGTTCCCCAAATCAATACATAATATTTATTTTTACAAAATATAGGAACGTTGTCATTAAATTTAACAAGGATCGGCTATTGGCAATGGCTAAAAATTATCTTCATCGTTGAAACTGACTGCGTCATTTACCTTCTTTGTAGAGTGTATTAGGAATTGTGTGGTGTACCAATTATCATTTAAGAAGAGATACCAAATGTACCAAATCACATGACTGTAATTCAACCGCACCTTGGTGTAGGGATGCTAACAATCATACAATTACTGCAGACCAGCAACAACACTTTTGTATGTTATTGCTTTACTAGTATTGAAGAATGTTTACAATATCTCTTACCAGTAAAATGTCAGGTTTACCAATTCTGGAATGGCAAATTTGTCCCGCACACTGTGTATGATTAATGTACTAGCGTAATTGTAAATACTGGAAGCCTGTTAACGCAAGTTATTATTGATATTTTAATAACGAGAGAGTGCGAAACGAATTTGTTTTATTTTATGGTTTCAGAAATTCTACCAAGCCTAGCTATAAATACTTAATAATATATGGACTGAGATTTAGGATTATTTTCAGGAGGTAGGATCAAGCAAGAAATGTTCAGTAAACTTGTTTTCGTTTAAGTTAGTTATTCACAAGCTCACGCATATCACTCCCTGGTTTATCATGTTTGACATATTGGCATATCAAGTTTTTTTTTTCATTTTTCTTCAAAAATTTCTTTCTGACTTTACTGCAGTTTTTATTCTAATATTGAAGAAGACAATTTTAATAACATACACACATGCACAGTAAAACAAAATGAATCTTCCAACTGTCGTATGGTGGTGACAAATACATCCAACATACCTTGTTAACCTTTTTTCTCTCGAATTATTTATACGCTTTAACTGGTTCGGATCATTTTTATGATCATTTTGTTTTAAATACCACGTGTTATATCCTGAAAATTTCTTTTCAGCTAGTATAATAGGATTAAAAACATTCAATCATATAATAAACATATTCTTACAATTTTACTTCATTGTTATTATATTCATAAACTACGTTTGTCCCATGTGCATTAAGGTTCTGCTAACCCTTCCGCAGTAGCTGCTTTTGTTTTGGTTGGGTTCGTGTTGCTCAGTCTATACTTTTGTATGTAGTTTATGAAGGCCGTTGGTTTGTTTTGTCGTTTTTAGTACTTCGACTCTTCAGTTTTGATTTTCCCTATGTATCCTCAGTCTCTTTCGATATCTTTCTGATGATATGAATGTATACCCCATTTATTTATTAGCCCATGAGGTTTAAGTGGAACTTGTTCCAGTGTACTTGGTAAGAAAGGTGATGTTTGTGATTCTTCTTGTGGATGCGAATCAGGTAAGTGTATAAAGATGAATAAAACAAAGGAAGTATTTTATTATGCATGCGATATTGTCATACGTGTACAGCAAAGGAAAATCAATTTAATCGTTAATGACCCAGAAAACCAGAAGTAAAAATTAAAGGCGGTCTGAAAATAAGGCCATGTTTTGTTCCTCTGTTTGCATTTCTACAGAACTTACAGATGAAAAAGAAAGAAGATTGTTTTCTTTTCTTGTGGTTTATAAACGTTTTATCTTTATTAACATGAAATGTTATCCAAAATTGGTTTCTAATAACAACCTATGTTTTCAAAATTATCAATGATAAAGATAAAAACATAAAAAGACAAAACAAAAAAGTACAAAAAGAAAGCGCGTTTCTTGAGTTTTGAAGTAGTTCTTAAATAATGCCAAGCGTAAATTATAAAGAGTCAGACTGTGTTTACATGTTTTCATACATTTATGAACGTTTATTTCATACAATATAAAGGTATGACACCATTTTCGTTTCTAATGATAACGATGTGTTTATTTGACTGATTGATTGTTGGTGTTAAATTAACAACACTTTCAGCACTATTGGCTATGTCATGGCGGCCACTTTGTGCTGGATAGAGGAAGCCGGAGTGCCCAGAGAGAACCACAAACCTTCACAGAAAACTCAAAATCCTAGTCAATTTAGATAAGAGTCGAAGGCACCTGCCACGTGCGGGATTCGGACTGATAACCTCTGTGTTGACAGCTGGCTAGTGATTGCTGTAGATGAATAACTTAAACCACTCGGCCATCGAGGCCTACGATGTCTTAAATGGAAACCAGATAAATCAGATAATTCTTACATGTCAAATTAAATACTCATTAAATAATAAATGTATTCCAAGATGAATGCACTATGCCAAAATATAGGGAAAAACCACAATAATGTTCAAAATAACATTTTTAAAATAGCATCGTCATTAATCTTTACAGACCATCTAAATTCTTCAGTAACATCATTTGTTTTTTACTCAAATATAAATCCCAAATAAATACATATAGCTGTAACTAATGATTTTTTTCAATTATTCTATAGGTTATAAATGTTATCGACCAATGTCTGGACATTGTTGTCCTCCAATGAGATGTTATAATACCACGTGGGTAGAAGAGAAACAACATTACTGGGCTAATTGTCATCCACCAACATGTCATTATCCTCATAAATTCATACCATAACAATATAAAAATAGGAAACCGCGTATTTATAGAATAAAATGTGATTAATTCTAAGCAATCGGTTTTACCTATTGTGTCTGTTTGTTTTGTTCACGCATCGTTGTCAATATAATGGAATTTGATGCGACTGTCATACAAGTGAGAGGTTTGGCTAGCTATACAACCAGGTTTAATCCACCATTTTCTACATATGAAATGCCTGTACCAAGTCAGGAATATGACAGTTGTTATCCATTCGTTTGATGTGTTTGAGCTTTTGATTTTGCCATTTGATGAGGGACTTTCCTTTTTGAATTTTCCTCGGAGTTCAGTATTTTTGCGATTTTACTTTTATATTTCTTTTTTATAATCGTTCGTTTGATCACAATTGTTCATTGGCCTAAATTTGATTATGACGTCATATTTTCGTGCCTTCCTCTGATTTAGTGATTGTGATGTGTAGCCTCTTCGTTGTTTATCTCCCACACGCTTCTTCTGCGTTGATTTTTATAATTAGGAAATAACTAGATTCCAGGTTTAATATTTTACTTAATTGTAATAAATCGTTATGTTCCAGTCGAAAACCTTGTAAATATGACAAGAGAAGTGGAAGATATCAAAATAATCGGATATTCAAACTTTTAAGTGGATGACAAACTTATAACGCCATGGCTATAACAAAAAACGACTTAAAGACAAACAACAGTATACAAATCACAACATAGAAAACAATTTTCGTTTGTTACATTGCATATGCGAAAATAATTTTCAGATATGCAGTTTCCCTTGTATGTCTTTTTTGTCATCACTTTTGAAAAGTGACTACATTTAAATGTACAGGCTTTTTAAATGTATATAGAATATAAATGACTATTAGGTATAACTTGCTATTTATCTTAACAGGAATCTTTATAACAAAATCATTTTACTTTTATACTTCATATATACTGACTAATACATAATAAGAATGACACGAATACCGAACATACCGGACATTACAACAGACCACACCAACATCAGGCTCCTCCGAATGAAATAGACGAACATACTAAGACGAACAGCATCGAAAAAAACATTGTACAGATAGTTTGCCTTGGTATAGGCATGTAGTGAGGTAGGGGTTAAACCATTTTTTTCCAGCTTAAATACCTCAAACTTTAAAAATAGGAAGATACGGTATGATTTCCAATGAGACAACTCTCCAACAGAGACGTACAAGTCTAACACGTAAGTCGTTACTGTAAAGACAACAATAAAATGATTGCCCAGTGCAGCTATCTATCCCATCAAAAATGAAATAAAGGTAATAAAGGATACCACATATACAATTGTTTGTCTCGTAGCTAGATTTACATTTATAAATCGTCAAAAGGGGTCGGTTTAAAACCCGACATTACGACAAAAGATTTAAAAAAAAATATCAGTTTTTCTTCGACTTACAAATTTGAAAAATGAATTGATCACTTCATTTCGTTTTCGGCTAAATACAGAGATTATCTCAAATTAAAATTACAAACCTTATTAACATTGAGAAAACTAAGGCGATAGCATATTATCGATGTTCAAAACTCGTAAATCGATTAGGAGGAGACAAATCAAGGTAACTTACAAAAATAATGAAATCGCAGTAACTCAAAAGGGAGCGAGATCGCGTGCTCATTACAACATTTATTTTTTTACTTCATGTTTTAAAAACGTTATCGGTACCATATATACTGCACTCGATACACTTTATGACTATGCATGTCTCTTCAGTGAGGCAAAAGGCAAACATATTTGAAATACATACTTTGAAGAGATGGTAAAACCAAAAAATAAAAGGCATTTTTAATGAGGTGTTTGAGTAATAAGGTAATTGATATGAAATAGACACATTGTAATGTCAACTTTTAACCCCAAAACGGATGACAAAGTTTGTTTATGTCAAAAGGAGATTAATATTCACCTTTTCGGTGCCTTTATATATTTTAGAAATATGGATAAAATATAATGGACACTTAATAAAAACAAATATGTACTAAACTAAAATCGTTTTAACAAAATAATTTGTCACTCTATCAACCATTCTATTTACTAGTTATAAATATTATTATTAATATATTAAATCGAAATGTAGCAAGGCGCGTTTTCATTTAAAAGTAATTAAAATACTTAAACATTTTTTTTCTTTACAATTCAACCTATATAGTAACCTTATTGTATCATCATTTCGTATTGTTCCAATTATACAGACATGCTAACTTCATCCATAGAAAAACTCTAACCCAACGATAAAAGTTGAATGGTGTTAGGAATATGGTCATCATCAGAATTCTATCTGGCAGTAAACATATTCAAGTAACCGATGGTCCACGTCTGGTCACATGTGTGAAGTTTAATCTAATGACTCGTGCATGGAGAGTGCCGTATATTCAGTACGTTAAAAACATGAACACAACTCTTTGAGGGGTACGAAAGTTGACTTTTGTAAGAAACAATGTCTGACCCTATCGAATATACCCTCATCTACCAGTTGCAGTCGAAATTCCTGCCATTATTTCTCCGACCAATTTTGTAGGACCAAATTATATTTTTGTCATTGTTGTTCTTTGCTGAATATGCATGTTGAAGTTTCTATTGCACAGGAAGTAATCAGTCAATTATAGAATACTATATTATACTATTTATAAAA